GCATGCTTTGAATGTAACTTTGTATTGTCGAGGCTTGCTGCCGTACTTGCGATCCGTGATGACGCGGTCAACTTCCTGATGACCATCCATAGATGGAGGGTCCTGCGATCGTCGGCCTGGGAAGTCGCTCTTAGCTGGTGTATATGTCGCCAGCTTCGAGGCGTGAAAGACTGGATGGACCGTCAGATGCGGGGGAATGTTGATCACAAATGAGGGGCCATCGGGCTCATCGCCCGCGGCTGATGTTACTGGCCATGGTCCAAACCACTTGGGAAGCAGTTTGCGTCAAACATCCTGTTCGAGTGCAAACTCTTCCGCGGAGACCCACACCAGACCACCGGCGCGGATGGGACATGGCACGTGATGCCTGCAATTCCCTGTACTTTTGAACGGAAGCAGGGGAGCAAGCAGCGTCTATGTCGGCTGTTCGTGGGAGGAGAAGATCAGCGAAGATACGGCCTTTCCGGCCACCGTGGTGCAACTCGAATGGAGTTACGCCAATCGCCGGATGCAACGAAGTGTTGTAGTCGAACTCGATGTCAGGAAGGCGGTCAACCCAATACTTCTGATCCGGACGGATGAGCGTACGAAGCATCATTTGAGCGGTTTGATGTGCCCGCTCCGTTTGCCCGTCCGTTTGTGGATGCCGAACCGAACTTGGTTTCATCTTCGTGCCGGATTCCTGCATGAGAGAAGTCCAAAATGCCGACATGAAGCGAGTGTCGTGGTCACTGACGATGTCTTCCGGCACGCCATGGCTGCAAATCCAGCTGGTGTGTAGGAGGCGCGCAAGTTCGGGAGCCGTGGTGTAGTACTTGCAAGGAAGAAATCGCGCATACTTACTCAAACGGTCAACGACCGTGAGGATGCCGTCGTGCCCAAGCCGGTCGCAGGGAAACGGACCGGTGACGTCCATGGCAATGGGGAGGCTGGGTTCCTGTGGGATAGGCATCGGGTGCAACTCGCCGTAGGGATTGCGGTTGTGGGGCTTGCTTTGTCAGCAAACTTCGCAAGAGTCGCAGTACCGAGTGACATCGGTAATGAGGTCAGGCCATCGGGATCGTTGCCGAAGTCGTGCAATAGTGCGATTGACTCCAAAATGGCCGGCGAGTCACGAGTCATGGTACTCACCGAGAAGGCGAGTCCGAAGACGACGGTCGCGTGGGACACACAATAAGTCCTTGCCTCTCGAGTGGAGGAGCAAGTACTCGTCGACGATGTGATAGTGGCTGGCCGGCAGGTGATCCGAAGATAGTTGCGCATACAACGTGGCGAAATCCGGATCAGACTCGTAGCCTCGGATGAAGTGTCCCTGGACTTCCTCGTCAAATGCAAAAGCATGTTGTGTCATAGCGCAAAGATCAGGTCTTCGTGAGAGTGCATCTGCTGCGCGATTGGAGAGGCCGGGGAGATGTTTCGGTGTGAAGTCAAATTGGTCGATGAAGTACATCCATCGTTCGATCGTGCTGCTCACCGTATCCTGCGTCTTGTAGTAGGTCAATGGTTTGTTTTCCGTGACCCATGTGAACCTACGGCACCCAAGGAGGAAGTGCCGCCATCGCTTGAGAGCCATCACGAACGCGAGCAGCTCCTTCTTCCTTGCATCATCAAGTGAATTGATGGGAGGCACTTTGTGGCTAAAATACTCCACAGGGTGCCAGTCGTCGCCGTCATGTTGTTCCAAGACTGCCCCAATGCCATAGCCGGAAGCGTCGGTTGTCACCCTCGTTGGCAGGGTGGGGTTGTAGATGCTAAGGACGGGTGCCATGAGCATGGCCGTCTTGAGTGCTTGGAATGACTGGTGTGCATTGTCATCGAATACGAATGGCAGCTTTGGCGATTGTAATCTCGTTATAGGTGCGGCAATCCTTGAGTACCAGGTGATGAAGCGTTGATAGTAGCCCGCCAACCCCATAAATGAACGAACGTCCGTGGTGTTGGTGGGGTCGGGCCATACGCGGATGGCCTCGATCTTGTCCGCAAGCGGACAGACTTGCGGCGTCACATAATGTCCCAAGTACTCCAGCTCTTGCTGCGCGAATTCGTATTTGTCGCGGTTGGCTTTGTACTTGGCTTGTCATAGCCGCTCCAAAACGGTGCGCAGGTGCTCCACATGCTCGTCCAAACTTCGGTTGTACACCAAGATGTCGTCAAGGTAGATGAGTACGAATCTATCCAGCATGTGTCGGAACTCCGTTGTCATAGCCACTTGGAATGTGGTCGGGGCATTCGTAAGGCCAAAAGGCATAACCGGCCATTCGAAATGCCCATATCGCGTCTTAGAAGCGGTCTTGTAGCGGTCCTCCTTCTTCCTTGCATCATCAAGTGAATTCATGGGAGGCACTTTGTGGCTAAAATACTCCACAGGGTGCCAGTCGTCGCCGTCATGTTGTTCCAAGACTGCCCAAATGCCATAGCCGGAAGCGTCGGTTGTCACCCTCGTTGGCAGGGTGGGGTCGTAGATGCTAAGGACGGGTGCCATGAGCATGGCCGTCTTGAGTGCTTGGAATGACCGGTGTGCATTGTCATCGAATACGAATGGCACCTTTGGCGATTGTAATCTCGTCATTGGTGCGGCAATCCTTGAGTACCCGGTGATGAAGCGTTGATAGTAGCCCGCCAACCCCATGAATGAACGAACGTCCGTGGTGTTGGTGGGCTCAGGCCATACGCGGATGGCCTCGATCTTGTCCACAAGCGGACAGATGCCTTGCGGCGTCACATAATGTCCCAAGTACTCCAGCTCTTGCCGCGCGAATTCGCATTTGTCGCGGTTGGCTTTGTACTTGGCTTGTCGTAGCCGCTCCAAAACGGTGCGCAGGTGCTCC